AAGATTACGGCTAAGGGCCACGGCGGGGGGGGTCAGGGCAGTGGGCTTTGCGTTTAGGCGTAAGGCGTAAGGGGTAAGGTGTAGGGTGTAGGTAGGGGGGCTTACGCAACGTGCCAGGAGCCACCGCCGCGGCAGGCACTGGTTGTCCTTGTCGAAACAGGGGTTTCGTGATTGGAGTTTCATATAGGAGCTCGAATAATAGCCATTACTAGTCCCTATGGCTCCTTATTATGATTATAGCATAGAAACCGCCCTCCGCCAACAATCAACCTCTTCTAGCTCTATTGCCTGTACAGTGTACACCATGCCTAACATACGCAAGATAAGGGAGTTTTTCGGGTCTCGGGTCCGGGTGCAGGTCTTCGGCACCCCAGGTTTAGGATTCAGGATTTGAGGATGGGGGTTTAGGGTTTAGGGTCTAGGGTTGCGGGTCCAGGGCTTGAGTGCCCAGGGTTCAGATTCAGAAGTTAGGTAGAAGTCAAGGCTGTCGGACATGGTAAATTCCCCGATGGTGTCGGTGTTCCGCACGATTACCAGGGTTGCATGTTTAAGGTTCTGCAAGGAGGAAGCATGATTTGTACAGATGCTTTCAGTGACATCTACGATCTACGCCAACATCGAAGTTATCGGCACCATCAACGCCCCGAAAGCGTTAGCTGTTGAGCACGAGATCTGTGAAACGGTAGCCATAAACCGTAAAATAGAAGGCACGATGATCAAGCTGCACAGAAGTTCTCAGAAACCCTCATATGCAGGTCTGAAGACAAGTAGTAAAGCTCTTCCCTTGCAGTCCCTCCCTACAGACCTACATTACGTCCCAATGGCACTGGGGCGCTGGAGTTTAGGGCGGTAGGGTCCTGGATGATGTCAGAACCTTACTAAGTAGAAACGGCTTAGGCTTGTGAGTTTTAGGGGCCTCAACAATTCAAACACGGCTGTTAGGATTTCTATACGGGCTTTCCTCGCGTTTTTGTTGCTGTTACTGTAGGGTTTTGTGCATGTGGGGGGATAACTGCGCCTAGTTCTGGCTTGTTCTGGGGGGGGGAGGGAAGGGGGGTGGCAGGGGGGGGGGGGCTAGATGACGTTCGATTCAGTTCCTGTCGCTGTTCTTCATGGTCGTGTGCATGTAGTTGATGTCGAACCTACTGCGCCTGCCACACGAAACAGGCTTCTTGCAAAAGTTGACAGCATGTGTTTTTGTGCTTACAGTTTGGATCTCATGTCATCTCAGACCATGCCATACCTTGACATATCATCTCATATCATCTCAGATCAGCGCATGTCATCCTGTACCATCTCATATCATCTCATCTCATATCACACAAAAGCTTGCTTCAGTACATTCTGAATCCAGTGTTTAACTCTGTTTCGTGTGGCAGTCGTGGTATTTCCGGTATGTTCGCCAGTGCTACTTTCAATCTCCTAAGAACCTCACCAAGCCGAAAACAGCGACCACCGTGTCCAAAACCCCAGTTTTAAGTAATTCCAAACTATAAACACTCAAAACAAAACATGCTGTCAACTTTTGCAAGAAGAAGCCTGTTTTGTGTGGCAGGTGCAGTAGATTCGACATAAATATCTATTTTTCCAAGGCGCAGTTGTCCCCATGAGGCAGTATACTGGCAGGAGCCTTCGCAATCATAATGACGATGGTCCTCATACTCATGGCCGTCATGAAACATCGTCATCACCAACACGAGTCATCATCAACAACAACAACAACCACAATGTGACAACTTCGGTAACGGCAACAAAAATGATAAGGAAACAACACGGACATGAATAAACCAGGCGAGAGGCCCCATCAGCATGTTGCAGCCCAGGCGGCTAAGGAGGAAATCGTTCCTCGAACTCTCGCGGTGTCTTTATAAGATTCAGGATTTCAGGCTGGGGCTTTGGGTTATACAGGGCTTTGGACTTAAGACGAGAGAGTTTGGGATTTCGGTCTTCTGTCTTGTTTTGCCGTGCGCAAAGCGTCAGGAACTTGTTCAGCTCCACCGTGAACGGATCCTCGAAGCTGTCCGACCCTGGCGTGCTTCTGCAAATAGCCATAGTGGAACGTAGGGGCCTCAATGATTGGAATAGGTTTTGGGGTATATTTATACTATAAATATGATAAGGAACCCCCAAAATAATGTAGGTGATTACTAAGGCCCGTATATGGGTAGTTCACTAAATTAGGGTCCCTTTTTAGATCCCCAATATAGTACGGCACCCTTAGAAAAAGGGCCCAAAAAGGGACCCTAATTTAGAGGACTACCTATACTAATCTCTTGATAGCCTGCGCAGAGACCTCGAGCTCGTTCCCCTAAACCC